GAGGATGATGCGTTGGATCCGGAGGTTGGTGGGGTGGTACGTGAGGACGAGGGGGATTCTTTTTTGGTTCTTATTGCGTGGACGGGGTGTGAGGGATGAGGTGCGGGAGATGTGGGAGACACGGTTGAGGGCGTTCTCGACCACCGAGGAGGGGAAGTTACGGTCCTTGAAAAACGAGGACAACTGAGATGTACGGGAGTGGAATGCCTCATCCTGGGAGCAGATGCGGCGGAGGCGGAGGAATTGGGAATAGGGGATGGCATTTTTGCAGGAAAGTGGGTGGGAGGAGGAGTATTCTAGGTAGCTGTGGGAATCGGTGGGCTTGAAATGAATATCGGTTTCTAGGTGGTTGCCCGGGATGGAGACAGAGAGGTCCAGGAAGGGGAGAGAGGTATTAGAGATGATCCAGGTAAACTTAAGGTTGGGGTGAAAGGTGTTGGTGAAGTGGATGAACTGTTCGAGCTCCTCGTGGGAGCATGAGGCGGCACCGATACAGTCATCAATGTAACGGAGGAAGACCTTTGCTGGTTGCAGGGGAAGGTTCCATGGGGCTGTGGGGGTTGTTGGCATGAAGGAAGAGTGGACCAGGGTGTCCCGGAGGGAACGGTCCCTGCGGAAGGCGGGCAAGGGAGGGGTGGGGAATATGTGTCTGGTGATGGCATCTTGCTGGAGGTGGCGGAAATGGCATCTGATGATCTTCTGGATGTGGATGCTAGTGGGATGGTAGGTAAGGACAAGGGGAACCCTATCGTTGTTGCAGGAGGGGAAGGGGGGGAGGGCAGAAATGTGGGAGATGGGTCGGAACCAGTTGAGGGCCCTGTCGACAACGGTGCTGGGGAATCCTTGGTTGAGGAAGAAGGTGGACATTTTGGAAGCTCCCTTGTCCAAGCTGGCCTCATCTGAACATATGCGATGGAGACAGAGGAACTGAGAGAATGGGATGGAGTCTTTACAGGATGCAGGGTGCGAGGATGTATAGTTCAGGTAGCTGTGGGAGTCAGTGTGTTTACAGTGGATATTAATGGCCAGTCTATCTCCAGAAATGGAAACAGAGATGTCGAGGAAGGGAAGGGAGGAGTCACAGATAGACCAGATGAAAGGGAGGACAGGGTGGAAATTGGAAGCGAGATCAATGAACTTTTCCAATTCTGGACAAGAAGGGGAAGCAGCACCGATGATATCGTCGATATATCGGAGAAAGAGTTGTGGGTGGGGGCCGGAATAGGACTGGGACAAGGAATGTTCCATGTATCCCACGAAGAGACAGGCACAACTAGAGCACATGCGGATACCCATGGCCACCCCTCTGACCTGAAAGGAGATCAAGTGGATCTGATTACTTCACATTCTTGCTACCTCAAAAACCTTTCACTCACTTGCTAATGAGAATCTATCCACTGTTTTGGTTCCACCATCTTTTGATTAAGAGAGGTCCAAAGACTCATGACCCTTCGAGAAAATATTTTAAATGGGCAACCCCTTATTTTGAAACAGTGAGCTCTAGTTGTAGATTCTTCCACAAAGGGAAACATCCTCTCCACAACTAGCCTATATAAACTCTTCAGGTTCATACATGTTTCAAACAAGTTGCTTCTTACTCTTTTAATCTCCAGCAGATGCGAGCCTTGCCTGTCCAACATTTCCTTATACGACGACTTGCCCATGCCGGATATTACTCGAGGAAACCTTGTCTCACTTGCAGGAGCCATTCACTCTCTTCCTCAACAGTAACAGTGCTCCCACCACTCAATTCCCAATGAACAACTCCTCCACCCATTGCCATTTCTTTCCCTTCCCCAGCACCCATTACCAATGTTCTTCATTGGAGAATAATGAGTTGAGGCCAGCTGACACTATAGCAAAGTGGGGAGGGATAAAGGGGAAGGCAGGGATAGAGAGAAGGATAAAGAAGAATGAACTATTCTCAGGTTCCTCACTTATGTGGCTATTGCTTATATGCGTCCATTACAAGTGAATATCAGCAAGTTATTTCTGAAAGGTCAACATGCAGGGAGAAATCTTAACACAGACAGGTCCTGCCACTCATGCAACATCCACAAATGCAGGACACTTTGGAAAGTTATCAGGGGCAGGAAGCATGGCTCATTTCCCTCTCCTAAACCAGAGGCCAAGAGTGCCAACTAACTCACATCAACCTCCAAACCCCTGCCCCCACGCCCCAAACCCACTCAACACATAACTCATTGGTAATAGTGAGACTCTTGGCATTAAAAGCAATATTGGACTGGTGAGAGAGCAAGGAAATTGGGAAGACAGTCTCTGGAGCTTTTATAGGGGTCCACCAGGAAGATGTACTGTACACGGGCTAAAAAAAGAGAACAAAGTCTAAAAGGAAATTATAGCACAGAGTAGGACAAACAGTGTCTATGCAGGAATCAAACCAAGACACTGGCCTCAAATCCAGGACATTTGGTCACCCTGCCCTCACTCCTACACGGCAGTTTCCCTGCCAGGACTTAAACCGAGAAATTTACTTATCTGTGTATTTCAACTATTTCCTGATAATTCACCCTCGCAGTGAAGTCCAGGACTAAGCTTCAGATGCAAATCTTGGCAGTGGTTGTCAGCAAAACGGAATAGATTCTTGACTCTAGAAAAGAGAAATCTGAGGGGGGGAAACTGATAGAGGTCGTTAAGATTACGAATGGGGTACTAGGCAAAATGTTGCAAGATAATTCCAGCAGAGAGCCCTTCAATATTTGACAGTCACAGATAAATCTAACAGTGGAATTCAGGAGAAATTTATTTACCCAAGGAGTGATGAGAATGTGGAACTCACTACCACAAGGAATAGTCAATGTGAATATCATAGATGGATACAAGGGGAAGCAGGATAAGCATGAGAAAGGAAAATATAGATACGTTGACAGGGCGAGATGAAGGAGGGAGACAGAAGGCAGATATGGAACATAAACACAATGGACTAGTTGGGCTGAATGGCCGGTTTCAGTGCTGTAAGGTCTATAATTCCAACATGGCCAAGCCAGTCCTTTCTTCACATTTAGAAACTTTTCTAAAAGAGGTCGCCAGACAACAGCAGGAATTCTGCCCATTATGTGTCCTTCCATAGTTTACTCTCACCACCTAGGAGTGTGAAGTGCTGCTCAGACACTTTATCCTTGGAGATAGTGAAATAAAGGAGTCTCACCCACAAGAGAGGGTGCGCATAAGCATAACCGAACTTTAAATCCCAAAGAGAAACCCAGCACATCAACTTTTGACCAAGGTTGGGATGCAGTACAAGTGAAAATTCCAGGAGAACAGCAAACAATGTAATTGTTGTGGTATTTGAAAGAAATGTTAGTACTGGTTTAACACGCTGGTTACATGGAGTGTCATTAATGATTAAGAGAGCACAAGAAACAATCAAAGATTCATGGATGCTTTAATGAGTCACTTTGCAGCAAGTGGCAGCCTGGATTCTGTCTAATTTCTCCTATTGCCTAGTCAAGCAACAGGAAGGCTAATTGCTGCCTCAATTAAAATGATATATTTCCTCATATCCAACTAAAAGATTATCAATAACTAGGAGTGAAGAGTCCTTATGAAAGGGGCACAACTGATATACTATAAATTACAAAAAAACAAAAATATTAAGGGACCTTCATCAGGTTAAAGTGTCAATTCCAGGATGAGGAGGTAAAGTGTAACCACAGTTATCAGGTTATTTCCTGAAATGAAGCGGTTGGTCCTATGAGGAACGTTTGAGCAGATTGAACCTACACTCATTGAAGTATGGAAGAATGAGAGGTGATTCTGAAATATATAAAATGATGAAGGGGCCTGACAGGTTTGATTCAGAGAGGATGTTTCCTCTTCAGGGAAGTCCAGAACTAAGGACCACAGTTTAAAAATAGGAGGCTTCCTACTTACGGGAGGGTCATTACTCTTTGGAATTCTCTTCCTCAGCAAGCAGCGAGATGCTATCATTAAATATGCTCAAGGTAGAGTTTAACAGATTATTAATAAAGCGAGACAGGCAAGAAAGTACATTTAAGGCCACAATCAAAAGATGAGCCATGATATTACTGAATGACAAAGGAGACTCAATAGGCTGAATGGCCTGCTCCTAATAAGAGCCCAAGACACTGGAGCAGATGTAGGCCATTCAGCCCATCAAGTCTGCTCTGCCATTCAATTAGATCATGGCTGATCTGATAATCCTTAACTCCACTTTCCAGTCTGAATACACTGTACCCATGTCTAATGGGACATCCAGGCACAGACATAGCTGAGGGAGAGACGTAGGTGGTTGGACTGGGAGACCCCTGGACCTGTTGATGATCGCCTTAACCTGACTTAATCTTATTGTATGGGGCTTCAGAAGGCAACTGTTAAAGTTCTATATGTTAAAGTCACAATGAACAAAGCAAGAACTATTAAAGAGTTTACAAGGTGAACTGAAACCAGAAAGCTGGTAGGTTGCAGTCAAACACTGGCGTAATAATTTCTTTCCTCCAGAGATATTTTATAACTTATATCCAGCAATGTTAGTTTTAGAATAAATGAAGAGGAGTGACCATAAGAAGCTAGTTGTTGTGGTCTTATTTAGTGGTTTAATTACAGATCATGGAGGATTTGTGTGATTTTCTAAAAAAAAATATAATTTGTTTGGACAGATTGTGGCACCTCCATGGCCGTCAGCCTGAGATGGGACTTGAACCTGGATCTTCTAGCCCCGAGGCGTTAACACAGTGCCACAAGACCTCAGATGTATTCATGTGAATAGCTGACCATCCTATTATAATTTCTTAAATCATCAACTACATTCCAATCTAACTAGTTCACTGAGATGTTAAACAAATGTTAATCACTTGTGGATGTGAGCTAGGGAATGGAACCTGATTGATTAGTTATGGTGATTTGCCTACAGAATAACAAAGTTTGTGGGGATCAGTACTACCCTCATGCAGGATTGTGAAAACAATCAATATTTCCTCTGCTGTCTATCTCTAGGTGGCATTCCTTCAGTCATTGCTCTGTCTTACCAGTTCATTAGCCAGGATCAGCAGTCCTGAAAGATAGTCCTCGATATCGAGATGAAAGCCTCTGTCTCGGTGCACTTCAACTGCATCGCAGTTTCCCAAAAGAAAAGTTAGAATTAGGCATGGCAAGTGTATCTTTAGTCAATTAAAATAGCCCATGTAAATAAAGTACAATGCTAGACTAGTACAACACAAAAAGTGGCCACTTGACCCAATGTGACTATGTCGGCTCTTTGAAAGAGCTATTCAGTTAATCCCATTCACCTGCTCTTTCCCACAACTGTTTGTCCTTCAGAATGGCCACACAAGTAGATAGGGGGTAAAGAAGGCAGATGGTGTGCTTGCCTTTACTGGTCAGGGAATTGAGTTGAAGAGTCAGGATGTCATGTTGCAGCTTTACAAGACTTTGGTTAGGCCACACTTAGAGCACTGCACTCAATTCTGGTTGCCACATTACAGGCAGGATGTGAAGGCTTTGGAGAGGGTGCAGAAGAGGTTTACCAGGATGCTGTTTGGATTAGAGGGTATGAATTATAAGGAAAGGCTAGAAATACTGGAGTTTTCTTGTCTGGAGAGGTGGAGACTTGATTGAAGTCTATAAAATTATGAGATGCGTAGACAGGGTTGACAGTCAAGAAACTTTCTCCCAGAGTTGAACTATCTAAAACTAAGGGGCACACATTTAAGGTGAGAAAGGGACGTTCAAAGGAGATGTGGGAGGCAAATTTTTTTTTGTACAGAGTGTGGAACACACTGCCAGGGGTGGTGATGGAGGCAGATACGATAAGGGCATTTAAGAGACTTTTAAATAAGCACATGAATATGCAAGGAATGGAGGGATTATGGACCAAGGGCAGGCAGAAAGGATTAGTATAATTTGGCATTCGGCACAACATCGTGGGCCAAAGGACCCGTTCCTGTGTAAAAATAAAAATTGCCTCTCATATCCCCTTTAAAACTTTGAGATAACAAGGTGGACTGCTGGACGAACACATTTCTGAAGAAGGGTCCAGACCCGAAACGTCAGCTTTCCTGCTCGGCCTACTGTGTTCATCCAGCTCTACACCTTGTTATCTCAGATTCTCCAGCATCAGCAGTTCCCACTATCTCCTTTAAAACTTTCCTCCTTTTACCTTAAACCTAATAATTGACATTTCTAGCCTGGGGAGAAAGAAAACTGACTATCCATGCCTCGCGTAATTTTATAAACGTCTACCTGGTTGCCCCTCATCTTCTAACATTCAAGTGAAAACAAAGCAAGTTTGTCCCATCTCTCCTCATAACTAATACCTTCCAAACAAGGCAACATCCAGTAAAACGTTTTTTGTACCCTCTCGAAAGTCTCCACATCTTTCTAGTAGTGGAGCAACCGGAACTGTATATAATATTCCAAATGTGGCCTAACTAAAGTTCTGTACATGACTTTTCACTTTTATATTCTATATCCTGACCAATGAAAGCAAGCATGCCATATGCCAGCACTTTCAGGGAACTGTGGACCTGTACACCTAAATCCCTTAATAAGTTAATGTTACTAAGGGTTCTGCCATTTACTGAATAATTCCCTCCTGCATTAGATCTCCCAAAATGCATCACCATGCATTTGTCTGGATTAAATTCCATCTGCCATTTTTCAATCCTGCCTTTTCCTTTGGCAATCCTCTTCACTATCCATAGCTGCACCATTCTTTGTGTCATCTCCAAACTTATAAATCAGACCACCGACATTCTTCTCCAGATCATTTATATATATTACACACATGTTCCCAGTACCGTTCCCTGCAGAACACCACTGGTCACAGATTTCCAGCCAGAGAAATATCCTTCCACCACTACTTTCTGTCTTCTATGACAACGTATTCATCTTACCAGCTCACCACGCATCCCATGTGACTTCACCTTTTGTATCAGCCTGCCACGAAGGACCCTGTCAAAGGTCTTGCTAAAGTCCATAAAGCCCTCAATCATCTTTGTCACTTACTCAAAAAACTCAATAAAGTTTGAGAGATAAGACCTTCCCCATATAAAGCCATACTGCCTATTACTAACAAGTCTGTTTTTTTTCGAAATGTGAGTAAATCCTATCCCTAAGAAACTTCTCCAATAACTTCCCCATCACTGACGCAAGGCTCACCGGCCTGTAATTTCCCAGATTATCCCTGTTGTCCTTCTTAAACAAAGGAACAATGTTGGCTATTCTCCAGTCATCTGGGACCTGTTCCGTGACTGAAGATATAAAGATTTCACACAAGTTCCCAGCAATTTCCTTGCTTGCCTCCCTCAACATTCTTGGATAGATCTCATCAGATCTGGGGGACTTATCTACCTTAATGCTTTTCGAAACATCCAATACCACCTCCTTTTTTATATTGGCGCCCTAGAATATAAACATACTCCTCTCAAGACTCATCATCCACCAAGTCCTTCTCCTTTGTGAATACTGATGCAAAATATTCATTAAGGACCTCACCCACTTCCTCTCGCTCCATGCATAAATTCCCCTCCTTTGTCCTTCAGTGGACCTAACCTTTCCCTAGCTACCCTCTTGCTCCTTATTTGGGAAACTTTTTTTTAACTGGCATCTTGTGAACCAGTGCTCTCGATAAATCAGCAAAAATTATATACCTGAAATACTGGAAGTTTACCATTATAGCGATCTCCAAGTAGTCACCTCTCTGCCAGTAAGTTTTAAGGCAAAGTTGCAATATTATTTTATGCCATAAATAAAGTTTAACAGTGACGTGTATATACCCCTTGCATTACTATTTTGTGTACGTCTTTACATAGATTATGTGAACTTCTTGATCAACCAGAATATTTGATCAACCGGTACACTCCTGGTTCCATAGGTGCCAGTTAATAAAATGTTTGCTACAGACACACACACATACATGAAGTGCTTTGGGATTTTTCTTAATCTTGCTGCCAAAGAGATTTCACAGCTCACAGCTCCTAATTCCTTGTTTGATTTCATTCCTGCTATCGTTATACTCTTCGATGGCTCTGTCTTTCTTCAGTTTCCTACACCTTATGTATGCCTCCATTTACTTTTTGACTAAGTTTTCATTTTTTTGGTCATCCAAGATTCCTGAATCTTGCCTTCTTTATCCTTCATTTTCATGGAACATGCTGGTCCTGAACTATAATCAACTGGCTTTTAAAAGATTCCCAAATGCCAGATGTGCATTTACCCTCAAACAGCCACTTCCAATTTATACTCCGCAGTTCTTGCCTAATAGTGATAGTTAGCCTTCCCCAATTTAGTACTTTCACCTAAGGACTACTCTTCATTTAAAAATTACAGAATTATGGTCACTGTTCCCGAAATGTTTCACCACTGAAACTTCAATGGCCAAGCTCATTCCCCATTGCTTGGTCTAGTATGGCCCTTTCTCCAGTTGGACTATTTATGTATTGTTTCAAAAAAACCTGGACACACCTAACAAGCTCCCCCAGCATCCAAGCCCGTGGCACTAAGGGAGTCCCAGTCAACACAGGAGAAGTTAAAATTACCAACAAAAAACATTTTATACTTTTCCATAATCTGTCCACATATCTGTTCCTCTATCACCCACTGGCCATTGGGAGGTCTGTATACAATCCCATCAAAGTGACTGCACCCTTCCTAATCCTGAACTCTATCCAAATGGCCTTGCTGGATGAGCACTCACAACACCCCCTTCTAAGGTGCTCTCCCTCAGTACAGCTGTGATATTCTCTTTTATCAGTTACATTTAGTTCCCTTGTCCATATCGTTAATTTTGTGCTGTGAATAAAAATGGCCCAGCAAGCCAGGGAAATGAGGAATGGACAAGTGCTGGCCTTGCTAATGACATATTCATCCAAGGAAGACCAATAAAGAAAAAAAAAAAAAAAAAGTGTCACACACTTCCTAGTATTCCTGCAACAGCTTCCCGGGTCACCAGGGTTTCAGACTCCAGATAGACGACAAACGCTGCCAGGAAGATGAGGCGTTGCAGCACGAACCTCCAGTGCTCATTAAACCTGCAGAACAAAATTCAGCATAAGCACAAAGCATTGAAATCTTCAAGGACGACACCGTTGTGTGATAGTGGGGTAGTGGCTACACTACAAATTAGCAATCTAGCATTCAAATTTCAATACGGGTGATTGAGAATGGAGTGTTTTTATATCTGGAAATACAAAAGTTGGCACAGGTCAGGTATCCTTTATCCAAAAACTTTGGGATCAACTTTCTTTCAGATTTCAGACACTTTTAGTTTTCCAACAGAAGGCAATAAATAGATTTTCACAGTTTTTAAATCACTTATTTAACTCAGCAAGTAGGGTTAAAATATAAGTCACAGTGCCCATTTGAATTTCTGGGATGTGTTGAGTTCTGCCGACTCCATTGGGAAATTTTTGTCACCTTGTTGTAATACGTCAGTTAAATAATTCAGTAACCGTTATTATCTCCTGTGATGACTGCACTCAACTATTTTTGACCATGTTATGTGTACCAGTGTATAAATAACTATTTGCAGCTGACAAAAATCACACAAAAAAAAACAAAATCACCAAAAGACTAGTACTTACCAGGATACACTTGGGTCCACTATAGGCCTGTTTGGGTCTCTTGGAAAAGAAACTTTGCTTAATCTGAGCGGGCCTAAAAGTGAAGTTTTTTGGTCAAAGGATCCAAACAGACTTGAACAGACCTGTAGACAAGCTGAGTTTGGACCTTTGGAAAACAGTTTCATTTTTAGATCTGCTCAGGTCAAGCAAAGTTTTTTTTTCCCCAAAAGGCACAAACTCAGCATGTCTACAGGTCTGTTCAGATCCACTTTTGAAAGTACCTTCAGCATTTAGGTCTTTTCAGTTTTTAGATGTACAGAGAAAGAACACCTGACCTGTATCAGTAACGGTGACTACAAAATGTATTGCCAGCAGAATCTCAACTGGTTCACTTATGTCCCCTGGGGAGAAATACCAGCAACACAGCAATGTGAGTGACCTCATTGAATTGTAACGAGGGATAGGAACAAAACTACCAGTGTTCCCAGTGGCAGGAATCTTTAACAAGACACAAAATGAATGAATCATCATAGCATTTACTTAGTTTGTTTTTGTTCTTTCTTAGTATGTGGGCATCACTAGTTAGACCAGCATTTACTGCCCATCAGTTAAGTGCTGTGGAGAAGATGGTGATGAGCCACCTTTTTGAACTGTTGTTCAGTACATGCACAAGCAGAATTCTGGGAGTTTGACACAGCAACAGAGAAAGAATAGTTCTAAGTTCGAATGGTGCATTGGTTAGTGGGGAACTTGCAGCGGGGTAGCGTTCTCATGTATCTGCTGCCCTTGACCTACAAGGTAATAGAGATCAATGATCTGGAAGGTGCTGCCTAAGGATCCTTAATGAGTTACTGCAGTACATCTTGTACATAGTACACACTGCTACTAATGAGCATGGGTGGTAGAGGGAGTGAACTCTAACAAGCTCTTGTGGCCACAGTATTTATATGGTTAATCGACTTCAATTTCATAGAATCCCTACAGTGTGGAAGCAGGCCATTCGGCCCATCAAGTCCATGCCACCCCTTGGAACAGTACCCACCCAGACCCTTCCTCTTAGCCTATCCCTGTGACCCTGCATTTCACATGGCTAATTGAACTGGCCTACACATCTTTGGAGTGTGGGAGGAAATCGGAGTACCCGAGGAAAGCCACACAGGGCGAATGTTCAAACACCACACAGACAGTCACCAAGGATGGAATCAAACCTGGGCCCCTAGTGCTGTGAAGCAGCAGCGCTAACCACCAAGCCGCTGTGTTGCCCTAAAAATGAGATGATCGCACATCATTGTTGCAAGCACATTTTTCAAGTGAAAGCACGGAATATTATATTCATGGTTGGAGGCCAGCTGACTTGGTCAGTATGGGGATTGAATCCATGATCTTGGCGTTATTAGCACCACACTCGAACCATCCGAACTAACCGACCAACCTTACCAATCAGTCTCTGGTCAATAGTAAACACGGTGGACGTTGATGCTTCTTTATTCATTCACAGGATGTGGGCATCCCTAATTGCCCAGAGGGCAGTTAAGAGTCAACCACACTGCTGTGGGTCTGGAATCACATGTAGGCCAGATCAGGTAAGAATGGCAGTTTCCTTCCCTACGGGGCATTAGTGAACCAGATAGATTTCTCCTGACAATCAACAATGGATTCATGGTCCCTATTAGACACTTTAATTCCAGATATTTATTGAACTCAAATTCCACCATCTACTGAGGCAGGATTCGAACCGGACTCCCCAGAACATCAGCTGAGTCTCTGGGTTAGCAGTGCAGCGATAATGCCACTAGGCCATTGCCTCCCCATGCTGTGCTAAACACTGCTCTGAACTTTAGAGATGACAATTCTTTCTTACTATTTAAAAACAGATAATTATTTTAGCTGTAGCTCGAATAAAACTTATGTTCAGGTACAGTGAGTTGTACAAACTAAGACAACACCAGTATTGATGCAGGGATTGTGGGAACTGCCGATGCTGGAGTCTGAGATAACAAGGTGTGGAGCTGGATGAACACAGCAGGCCAGGTAGCATCAGAGGAGCAGGAAAGCTGGCGTTTCGGGTCTGGACTCATCTTCAGAAATGGGGGAGGAGAAGGGGGCTCTGAAATAAATAGAGAGAGGGGGAGGCAGTGATAGAAGGTGGAGAGAGGACGGACAGGTCAAGGGGAAGGGGATGAAGCCAGTAAAGGTGAGTGTAGATAGGGAGTTGGGATGGAGGTTGGTCAGTGAGCAGGGAGGGGCGGGTAGGTGGAAGGGAAGATGGACAGGTCAAGGAGGCAGGGACGAGAGGGGGGTGCTTGTCTTGGGATGAGGTCGGGGGTGGGGAGGTTTTGAAGCTTGTAAAGTCCACATCGAGACCATTGTGTTGTAGGGTTCCCAGGCAGAATATGAGGTCCTGTTCCTCCAGTTTTCAGGTGGCATCGTTGTGGCACTGGAGGAGGCCCAGGATGGACATGTCGTCCAAGGAGTGGGAGGGGGAGATGAAGTGGTTCGCAACTGGGAGGTGCAGTCGTTTGTCACGAACCGTGCGTAGGTGCTCCACAAAGCAGTCTCCAAGCCTCTGCTTGGTTTCCCTGATGTAGAGGAGGCCACATCGGGAACAGCGGATACAATATACCACGTTAGCAGATGTACGGGTGAACATCTGTTTGATATGGAAGGTCTCTTGGGGCCTGGGATGGAGGTGAGGGGGGAGGTGTAGGGGCAGGTGTCGCACTTCCCGCGGTTGCAGGGAAAAGTGCCGGGGTGGTGGGGCTAGTGGGGAGTGTGGAGCGGACGAGGGAGTCGCGGAGAGAGTGGTCCCTCCGGAAGGCAGATAAAGGTGGGGAGGGAAATATACCCTTGGTAGTGGGGTCAGATTGCAGGTGGTGAAAGTGGTGGAGAATGATACGTTGAATCCAGAGGTTGATGGGGTGATACATGAGGACAAGGGGAATTCTGTCTTTGTTGTTATTGCGGGGAGGGGGGTGTGAGGGCTGAGGTGCGGGAAACGCAAGATATGTGGTTGAGGGCGTTTTCGACCACTGTGGGGGGGAAACTGTGGTCCTTGAAAAACAAGGACATCTGGGATGTCTGGGAGTGGAACGCCTCATCTTGGAGCAGATGCGTGGAGGCAAAGGAATCGGGAATAGGGGATAGCATTCTTGCAGGAAGGTGGGTGACAGGAGGTGTAGTCTAGGTATCTGTGGGAGTCAGTGGGCTTGAAATAGATATCGGTTTCCAGGTGGTTGCCAGAGATGGAGACAGAGGTGTCCAGGAAGGAGAGAGAGGTATTGGAGATGGTCCAGGTGAACTTAAGGTTGGGATGGAAGGTGTTAGTAAAGTGGATGAACTGCTCGAGCTCCTCGTGGGAGCACGAGGTTGCGCCGATATAGTCATCGATGTAACGGAGGAAGAGGTGGGGGATAGGGCCAGTGTAGCTGCAAGAAGAGGGACTGTTTCACATATCCTACAAAGAGGCAGGCATAGCTTGGGCCCATGCGGGTACCCACGGCCACCCCTTTTGTCTGTAGGAAGTGGGAGAAGTTGTAAAGGATAAGGACGAGTTCGGTTAGGCGGATAAGGGTGTCAGTGGAGGGGTACTGGTCAGGGGTTGTTACAACTGGCTATGAGGGTTTCGGACAGAAAGGCAGCCTAGATTCTTTACAGGAGTAGAAAAAAATAGTTGAAAGAGTTACAAATTCAAAGTAAATTGCTGGGCAAGAAAACACCAGGTGGCCAATCGAGAGCATCATGTACTATAACTAGGCACTGGAAATACTTCCTTGAATCTGAAACAGCTCCCTCTTAAAGACTGCAGACAGGCAACAAGGCAGCAAAGCCAGAAGCTCACTAATCTCTGGAGAAGCAAGGGTTGCTCAACACTCGATCTACTCTCAATTCATCAAGGTTTTGTCCCCTACTGAATCTGTCTGTAAATCCCTCTGCAGGCTCTGTAGTCATCCTCATCACTTCCCCTTCCATCTATTTTTATGTCATCTGCAACTATCCAGAGGCACTCCTCAGTGAAGTCAATCAAACGTGTTTCACCCAAAACATTAACCCACGGTTTTTTCCTTCAGACGTTTAGGGGTTTACTGTTTCCATCCTGTGCTTCCTGCTCTTGTTACCATTTCAGCACTTGTATCGCCTTCTTCACTAACCTGTAATACTGGTCTGCAGGGAATTTGGTTTTCAGTTCATCCAGTTGTGTCCTCACAGCATCAAAATGTTCACGTGCTTTCTGGCACTTCTTCGTTACTTAACACATGCAAAAAAAAACAATTTGATTAATATAAATCTTTTTTAACATGGCATCTTATTATGTTAAGACCATAAAGATCACCACCACAATTTGAAGGAGAACAGGAAAATTCTCTCTCGGGTCCTGGTCCATTATTGATCCATCAATCAGCATCATAAAAACAGATTATCTGGTCATTAACACACAGTTTTATTATAGGAGCTTTGTGCTCAAATTGAATGTTGCTTTCCTACAAAAGTGACTACTCTTCAAAAAGTACTTAATGAGCTGTAAGACAGCAACTGGACAACTTGAGATTGGGGAAGGAGGGGATCTTTCTTTCTTTGTATTATGCACTAATTTCTGGGGGGCCAAGGTTTGCTTCAGAGATTAACACATTTCACTACAGCGTATTTCTAAAGGGGTTGTATCTGCGGTTACCCTCACACCGAGATTCGTATTTCAGATTAATTAAACATAAATAAAACACTGTGGATGCTGAGGATTGGAAATAAAAACAGAAAATGCTAGAAAAACTCAGTGGATCTGGCAACATCCAAAGACTTTTCTTGAAACATGAACTCTGTTTCTCTCTTCACAGATGCCTCTAGACCTGCTAACAATTTTCCAGCATTTTCTGTTCAAATCCACCACGGGAGCTGTGATTCTTAACTAATAAGGGAGTCAAAGGGTATTGGGGGTAAGCAGGAGAGTGGAACTGAGGTTAACAGTAATGGTCAGGCAATGAACCGGTCATGTGTTGTCAATTGAGGGATAAATATCAACCAGGATAATGGGGAGAACTGCCTGTAAAATATCACCATGAGACTTTGTCATCCACTAATGCATGAAGGTAAGGTATCAATTTAATATCTCATTGGAAAGATTGTGTCTGTGTCGGTGCAACAGTCCCTCAGCTCTGCACAGGGGTGTCAGCCTTGACTTTTGTGCTCAAGCCTTGGAGTGGGACTTGAAGATGGCACTTTGTGATTCAAGGCAAGAATGCCACCAACTGGCCTACAGCTGATGCACAAAGTTATCATTAAGTTCTGTCAGACATACAACAAAAAGGCCACTGGGCACACCATGTGGACTCACTGACTGTACAATGCACTTTTTCCCATTCCCCTGCCTGATTATTTCATCTTGTTTCAAACAGCCAAAGAAAGAGACAGAAGAGAGAAAATTGGAGAGTTGAATAGAAAGAGACACTCATGCAAAAAAGGTAAATGAGGAAAAGAAAAGTAAAAGTAAAACAGCCAAAACAAAGTAAAATGTTATTGACTCCTTCTTCTTCCACAGCAGCACAAGAAGAAGTCATGCAGCCCATCGTACCCAAGTCAGTTCTTTGGTCAAGCTACTCAACAACTTCCATTCCCCTTAGCTGCAAATAGTTTCCCTTCATACTTACCGTCTTTCAAGCCAGATGTCTGATGGACAGTCTGCAGCAGGGTAAGTATCTCACGAGCTGTCTGTTCAAGGACTTGGACAACTTTTCTTATTTCCTACAAAAGATTAAGAAGAATGACAGAATGGGGTGTACACAGCTGCCTAGCAAGTTAAAGGAAGGGAGATCTCAGAATCCATCACTTAGTTAGCAACAACTTGTGGATGTGTCAAAAAAATGATACTGAAGGGTCCTGTGGGCACAGCAAGCTGTTATTGCACTGGATTTCATTTGGTTTTTTTATTATTTCATAGGATGTGGATATCACTGACAAGGCAAGTATTTACTACTCATCCCCCATTGCCCTTGAACTGAACAACTTGCTTGGCCATTTCAGAGGGCAGTTAGGAATCGACCACATTGGTATGGATCTGAAGTCACATACAGGCCAGACTAACTGGGGAAGGCAGATTGCCTTCCCTATAGGACTTAAGTGAACAAATTGGGTTTTTACATCAATTGACAGTGATTACATGGTCCCTGTTAGACCAGCTTTGTCAAAAAAAAGCTTCTAGAATATTTTGGATTAAAACTTTACTATCTGCCATGGTGTGATTTGAACTCGATTATTGGTTCAGTGGCATTACCACTATACCACTGGTTCCTAAATCTCACTGTCCTTGTTATCTTCTTTGCAGTTCCGGATGTCCTCCGTTATTCCAAACATTGGGTTAGATTTGTACTGAAAAAGATATGAATACTAAACATAGATTTTCAGGCACCAAAGCAATCCAAGTAGAACTTGGCCCCACTTGAACAGGGGAAATCTGCTACAAACATGGAATGCTAGAGAAACCAAACAGGTCTGATATCTGTGTAGAAAGAAAAGAATTAACGTTTCAAGTCTGGTATCACGTTTCTTCAGAACTGTTTCCACTGATGCTGCCAGACCTGCTGAGTTTTGCCAGAATTATGTAGCAGATTTCCAGCATCTTAGTGTTTCACTTTTATTTGAGAAAATGTTTGCTGTTAGTTAATATAATTTCAAACTTCCTTCCTCCCCTTTTCAATCTCTTTGGAAAGTTAATATCTCAACATTGTGTTAGCCTTGGCTCAGTGGGTAGGATCTTTAACTCATTCAGAAATTCACGGGTTCAAGTCCCACTCCAGAGATTCGGGTACACATTCTAGGCTGATATTTACACTGCAGTACCGAGCGCAACGTTGTCAGCAGTACCATTGGCTGCCTTGAACTGCGAAGTCCCCTTTCACGTCACACTGACTTGGAGCAGTCTTGGCTGTCCCTTCTGTGCCGCTAGGTCAGAATCCTGGCAATCGCATCCGAATGTGTGTCTGTTCATGTGAGTAAGTCTGTCTCTGTCTGTATGTGCACGTGCTGCTGCCCTCCAAGAACTGCAGTGGTTCAGAAGGCAGCTCACTTCTCCAGAACAAGCAGGGATAGTCACCCAGGGGGAAAAAGCATTAGAAAACCAGCACTTGGAAATTAATGCACTGGTCATGATGGACCTCCATTTTGAAGTATATGGGTCAGACTTGCATATATCATTTGACAGCTCTACTGTGTTTTTTTTAAAACCTGCAACGAAAGCAAATTTAACCTGAGGTGCATTCGCTAGGAAAAGTAGCAAGACAGTTTAACACACAGGTATGTGGGTTCAAACCTTGATGACAGATCAACGCCGATACAGTGGCGAGGGAGTGCTGCACTACCGAAGGGGCCACCTTTCAGGTGAGTTGTTAAACCAGGGACCCGCCTCACGGGGAGATGAAATATCCCTAGGCCCCAACTACCAACGGTGGGGTGGGTCAATTTTCCCCAAGTGCCAGTCCCTGTCCTTCAATGCCTCCGTCCTCTGCGGCATCTTGCTGTGCCCACAATGAGCCGCCTCTCATTGGCTGCAGAGTTTTCCAATCAGCTGCCAGCTTGGTGCTACTCCGCCTCCCTTCACCTTCTCCCTCCACTGTCCCTCATCCTCCCTCCGCTGTCATGGAAACCTACTCACCTCCCTCACATCCTGGTCCGCGGACAGGGAGCTCTGGATCACACTGAACAAATCCGTTACCGACATCACCGCCACAACACTAATGACAACAAAATCAATGAACCGTGTGGATTATCCCAATGAAGCGGCGGCTGCTCCTTTCCCTCACGGCAATAGGACACACGCGACAAGGGTCCTTCCCAATAGCTCGTCGCATCCAAGGGCGTCTGTCCAGAATAAGCACTTGATTTTTGTCTTGTTTTTAAATGCACGCATATCGCTATTTTTTTTTTTTAAAAAAGCCGCCACGGAAGAACTCCAATCTTATTTTCTCAACGCGAATTTTCCCCCTCCTCACGTATTCGCCGACGGCGTTTGTCTGGCCACCATGCAACCACCACGAAAGAAAATGGCGATGTGAGGGCCCCAGCGGAAGTTCAGCTTTAACCTCTGACCTCGCGCCAGCGTCATTTCCTCTTTCTTTTTGGGTGCTTTTGGAGCGACCGGGAGGAGGTATCGGCCATGGTGAGTGCAGGTGGATACAATCCGTCCCCATCCGCCTCCTCCGGGCTGGTGTATCGTTCAATAAATATCGTGAACCGTCCGGAAAGTCCCGCTATAACATTCAGCATCTGTATTGAAACGAAAAGTCTTAAGGATGAAGTAAATAACCTAATTTCTTTTTCCGGCATTTAGCTACTGGAGAGTAGTTCATCCAGCCTGATCCCTGCAGGCTACCACGCACCAGACCCCTTCCTAAAGCAAGCCGAGGGGAAAGAGGTTTCTGCCTCTCCTGCCCGAACTCGCCCCAACTCGAATCTCCGCAGCAGACGACCCAGGAGGATCTTCTCAATGTACGGGATGGTCACACAACTTCAGGACAGTTAGGCATCTTGCCTTCTCCCTCAAGTGTGTGGCTCAGTGTTACAGATGCAAGTCCCATTAAATGTCAAGTCCTAGACTTGATTGAGAGCTGGGACTTTCAGTGTGATAACTTTATAAAACATTAGTTAGGCCACACTTGGAATGTTGTGGCCACCACACTACCAGAAGGATGTGAATGCTTTGGAGAGGTACAGAAAAGGTTTACCAGGATGTTGCCTGGTATGTGGGATTTTAGTATGAAGGAAGGTTGGATGGACAGGGTTTGTTTTCACTGGAATGCAGGAGGTTAAGGGCAGCCTGATAGCAGTTTATAAGATTGCGAATGGCATGGATACAATGGAAAATATGAGGCTTTTTTCCAGGGTGGAGGGGTCAATTACTAGGAGATACTGGTTCAAGGTGGGGGGGGTGGAATTTAAGAGATGTGAGAGGCTGGTTTTTTTTCACACAAAGGATGGTGAGTGCCTGGAACATGTTGCCAGCGGAGGTGGTGGAAGCAGACACGACAACAGCATTCAAGAAGCAGAGATAGTAGGAACTGCAGATGCTGGAGAATCCGAGACAACCAG